CACACACACACAAGGTTGGTGGGACATATTACCTAAATATCACCCAGGATACTGCATATCCTGGGTGTCGGGTCTGGCAGGCAGCATCCTGCCCCTGGACTATTGGTTGTAGTTCTGAAATGGAATGTGATGAAGTTCAGATGGTTTGAAATATTGAAAGAAGTTATGTAACCACTCACTCACTGCAAAGTTTCAAACTAGTGGCAAAAAACTTACCATTACGGTGATGCTGCTGCAGCTGTCATTGGTAGCTATGCCCACTGCAGTGGCAGTACATGGCAGGGGGTGTGGGGGACGCAGGTGGAAGGGACATGGGCAGGGGGGAGGACATACACTATAGGTGGCAGGGTGGATAGAAGAATTAAGAGGGGGTGGTAAATTAAGGAGAACATTGCCTTCCTCCCCCATTTCTTTTTGTTAAAAATAATAATTTGCAGACCCGACCCAAATTGTAGCTGGCTACCTGTGGCCACTGCGTTCTGTGAGGAAGGAGGAAGGGGTGAGCAAGGGTAAAAAGAAACTCCACACAGTGGCACCTACTGGCTAGAGCACAGTGCAATCTTGTGGTGAAGGGCATTCATTTAGAAGTCTTTGGAATCTCTGGCTGTTCGGAGGAAACAAATCCATAACTGGGGTGGCATAACTGGGGAGTGCCGCAAGATAACACATCTCCAAGTAGTGTTAGTTTAAGGATCTAAATGGACTTTTAGAGCAGCAGGAAATGCTGGATTGTGCAAACACAAATGCAGTTGCATCGGTGTAAACAGGAAATATTGTTTTGGCAACACTCGCCCCTGGAGTACTATGTTGATTTTCTTCCATTTAACCATTCTAGCTTAGGCAATTGGTGTAAACTCCCTAATTCGGCCCCATCAGTTGCACAGACCTGACCTTGAGGTACCTTTTAGTCATAATAGGATAGTTCCATCTCTGTGGCCTTAATCTCTCTGCTATGACGTGATAAGGATTCTAGTAGCATATCTTCTTGCCCACTGAGACCGCAAGACTGAGACCGCATGATTCACAACATGTAATGGATAATAAGCATTTTCAATCACTGTGGGTTAGGGTGACCTGCTGGATATAGAACAATGCTTTATAAAGACGTGATCTCTTAGTAAATTTGATTGCTTTCTTTTCTTACACACACACAAGTGAACATTTGTTTTAGAGACGAGATGGAAAAATCACTAGAAACGAGCTTTGTCGCATTTTAGATTGTTTCCTATTTCAAATAAATGATGAGGAGTTGCAAGACCTAATCAAGCTAATTGATCCAGAACACACTGGGCACCTCAGCTACCATAAATTTTTAGACTTGTTTGAAGAAAAGGAATCTCTAGTAAGTGATATTCGTCTAAGACTATGCTTTTCTATAAGGGCTATAGCAAAGTATCAAGACACTTCCAAGTAAAACCTTTTGCAGCTTTCTTTTAAGTTACAATATTGCATATGCTTTTCAGCAATGTACACCTACATAATCTGTATTTCTGGATTCTTTTGATTCTGATGTATATACTAGGAAGCAAGTTCACAGTTACCTGAGGTTTTTGGAAATGCCCCCTTGGATCCAATTACAATATAATTTATACATGTATAGTGGTTGTGGAACAGATACCATTTCATAGCTGTCAGTTGTTTCCCTGATATTTTGCAGAAGACCCTTTTATTTTTTTATCTATTATTCTTTATAACAATACATAGGTTATAAGATATGTGATTCCCATAGCTTGAGTATTTTCGTGGGCATGACTTTGAAAATTGTAGTGTTTTATAGTCATCTTTTAATATTTTCCTTAGAACCACTCATTGTACATGTAGTGAGGTTGTATGCTGTATCCTGTGACCGGAACTTCTATTCAGCATGTTATTTTCTTTTGACAGAGATAATACTGTCAAAGTTTTTGTTAATGAATTGTAGTAAGAAATGGTCTAATCAACAGTTTCCATAACTGCTTTCTAATATCAGAGTTCTTCATAATTTTCTTTAAAAATCACCTTAATTTGACAACTGTATAAATTTTTATTTAGTTCTTGTCTTAGGCTGGCATAACTAATGTTCCTGTAAAATATCAAAGGAACCCAGCAGTGTCAAGAGAGGCACTAGATACACACAAAGAGGTTCCTATTGAACAGTCTTGAATGGCACGTGTTATTTTGAGAAAAGCTTTGATGTAGCAACTGAAATAGACTGCATTCCATTCTGATGGCGCCAACGATAGATATTTGATTCATCAGCTCAGGTCCCTTCCACCTATTCTTGAGTTGAATAATGGTCTTGCTGAGAGTCTGGGACATACTTTTTATAGTTATAAAAGTGACATCATGGATGGGGGAACACAAGTAATGGCAAAGGCTAAATACAAATAGGTCTGAAAATTAAACAGAATGTACAAATTAATCTGGATTAATTAGTCTGGATTCATTTTAGAGGTTCCCAAGTAGCGGTGAAATGCCTGAGGAAGTGTTGGTAACAGAAACACAGTTCAACATGGCCATCCTGGGATGAGCTCTCAGATGGGATCCTCTGACAACAGGACATTACCCTGCTAACTGTGCAGGCCGGGAGCGGTCCTCGGTCCTCGGGGGCCTGCGCGCGGCGGGCTGTGGCCAGCAGCCTGGACACGCCGGGTCGGGGAATGCAGGCCGGCGGGCTAGAATTAGGCACAGACGCTTAGCGGTTGATTAAAGATTATTTTACTTACACCGAAGATGGTCGCGGTGCAGGCAGGAAAACTAGCTTGGGTTGCGGTTACAGATAGAAAAGAAGAGAGGCGGACAAGAGTTCCTTCCACGTGAACCTCTAGCCCAATCCGGTTGAAGGCTCTAAACACGCGAGCCCGTCGCGTCAACCGAAGAAAACAACTCGAAGCAGAGAGCTCTGGATACACTCACACGAAGTTTGCTAGGCTCCGTGGAACTTGCGTGCAGGGAAGGGGTTCGTCGAGGGATCGTTCGGCGACAGGGAGAGGCCAGAGGTTGATCAGACCCCTATAGCCTGCGTTGGGTTCGATAGGCTCCGCAGCGCTTAGAGATCTTCACGAGACGTGAAGTTCTTCTCCTCCAGATAGTTGTGGAGTCCTCCCTTGCGGGGTTCCCCTCGGAGTTCTCCAACTTGGGCGGAAACCGCTCAAGCCTCTTATACGGCTAGCAAGCCAATCACTAGCCGCCACGTGGGAATAATTTAGAACTGGCCAACAGTGGGACACAAATTTGCATGCGAATGGCGGGAACTCCTTTGCACCGTGCATTTCTCTTTGCAACTAAGAAATGCACCCTGCAAAGAAAGCTCCTAGTGGCGGGAAATAATTTAGCAGTGCCGAAGCGCGCACAAACAAAATCACACCCTTGGGTTGTAACACTAACTAGCATTTCACTCTCAAAGAACACTGAAGAGTAGGCAATTATGGCCCCTGCTGTGGCTGTTTTCTTCCAAACTGCTAGTGAAAACCCACTGGAAAGAAAGCTTCACCATTGTTGTTAAGGATCCATCCAGTGACCATGGACAGACATGTGAGAAATGCTCCAAGTGCCCTTAAAATACTCCAAAGGACACAGACATGCACAGCCAAAGAAGCACTTCAAAAATGGCCAAAAACACTTTGAAATGATGCTAAAAATGAGGAACATCATTGAAGCCCATTTTTTGGAAGCACTTCTTGAAGCAGCTATTTATTTATTTGTTCCTCCAGCATCCCACAGTACTCTACTTCCCTCTCCCTCCATGCGGGCAGCAGTGGGATGGACAGACATTGAGCATCGTGCTTTGTGCTCAGCTGTCCTCAGAAATTTCCAGATACTGGAGATCAAGAGACATGTGGGAATTCCTGCTCTTCAGCCCTCTGGCTGGACAGAATTGCTGTTCATGTCTTCATGTCTCTTTTGAAGTGCTCTTTGTGCAGGAAAATGGGCAGAACAGAGCAGTGGCTGCATGTATGTAAAGCACTGGAATCCAACATATGCATGCCTGTCCATGGCCATTGGCTCCCTGAGTGCTGCATAGCTGGTGGAAGAGTTCTGCAGCACTCCATATTGGCCCAACCCGTGCCAAAGAGAGATTCTCAGGGGGTACAACCTGTGGAGGATATTTTTTTCCAAAATGCTGCTGTGCCACTTCCTTCCTGAATGCTGGAATGGTTCCTTAGGGGTTGCTACAGCCATGTGAATGCTAAGAATAAAGCTGAACTTTACACAGACAGACCAGCTAGCTCCGAGACTGGGATAGGTGAAAGCAACAGAAAGCAACAGAAAATCACTTTTGTCCCCACTCAGATCTTGCACTGAACAGAACTCACTCAGGTTTGAGGGTGAAGCCCAATTACTTTTTAAAATTAAGGTTCCATATTTATTACATCTCAATAGCTCTTGTTTTAAATGTACTCAAGCTGCAAGTAAAAATTTGCTTTTGTAACTGCAGGTGCCACCAATTGATCCTGAACCACATTTTATAGACCAGTTCTACTCTCAGTTGTACCTGTTTTATCCTACTGTCTTCAAATAAGGCCTTCTATGACAGATATACAACATTCAACTCTCTGAATGGCTTTTGCTCTACAGGGCAAAAGGAGGGGAAACAATCAGCAAACACTTTCTTTTGTCACTGAGGTCATTGGATATGACTTGGAATTCAAAAAAAGGGGCTGATCTGTCATGAGAGGTGCCATTCTTCCATAGTCACTTTACAGAGTAAGCAACTGGAAAGTGTACACATTGACTGATATTGTACACAATTTTGGAAACATTACGCTAAAAACGTTTTAATTCAAATAACATTTTTTTTAATTAGATGGGTCATAAATGGCTTACTGAAACAAAACAAATTAAGAAGCCAGCTTCTCGAGTACTACCTTGGGATACTGTAAGTAATAATGAGGTCCATTTTCAGTAAGTGTTGACTTTCTGTTTTTAGGGTGTTTTCATTTTACTTCATGATTACCATTATAAAGCAGTGTAACCTGAAAAACTCTTTTATTTTTGACATCTCTACATTTGCATGTCAGATAAAATCACAGAAAATTGGAAAGATTTCCACAAGGCTCTGCAGTTCCATGATCCTAAAAACGCTGATATTATTAGCAGAAATCACCTCAGAAAAATGTTATGGGCCTATTGTCCTTCTTTGTCTGATGAGCAGTTTGCAAAGTAAGTTGCTGTTATTTGAATACATGTGACACTATTAATTTTCCTTCCATATTTTACTTCCTCTATTTTTAAAATGATGAGTCTGGCCATTAGGATACTTCAACTTACCCCAGCGCTCTTTCCTACCCAGGAACATACACTCTAATATCTATGAATCTATGAATCTATGAATAAGCTTGGAGAGAATAAAGACACCAGTCCTACAATGGATCAACTTGCATCTCTTGTTTATTTCCATGGAAGTTCCATGCATGGAAATATGCAAGACTTGGCCCATAAGGTTCAGAGGACAATTTTAAATGTGAGATAGGCCCTGCATGAAGTAGAAATTTGATGCACTGGAAACTTTGTGTCTTATAAACAATATTCTGCGTTTCCAAAGAGAAATTCAAATACCCATTTCCATTCTCTTATTGTAAGATTCTGTGGTAGAATCCTGTTATAAAAACAATTTCAACCTTGGTTTAAAGAGAGTGGGACATAAGATGACCAATTTGGGTCTTATTTTGAATATTGACCGACTTCATCACCACACACATGTGATCATCAGATCTTCCAAATCAGAATCATCAGACCTTGTAAATCAGATGTGTGTATAGAATCAAAACCTCTACCTTGCAAAAAGTGTGGATTGTATTAGGCAGGGTCATAACTAGGGTGGGGTGACTGGGGCAGCTGCTCTGGGCTCTGATTTGCAGGTGGGGGTTTTTTGTGTTAAAAACAAACAGCCAGTGGCATGGCGGCAACTGGAAGTCACCATTCTTCCTTGTGATGCAGCTGCCCAGGGCACTTGGCTGCATTGTTTCCCTGCTGGTATTACATTTTTTATTGCCATGGCATGTCAGTCTGGTTATAACTGGCTCTAATTTGCTCTCCAATGAGCTGTAAAAATTCTTTACCTACAGCCAGCGAGTCTCAAAGAGATGGAATTCTTTCCTACCTTTGAAAACATAATAGGAAAATCAAATAAATTAGTTCTAATCTGAACCTTACCACCCAGCGTCCTGCTGATCATTATAAGTGAGGAGCAAACATAACAGCATCAATAGGAAATGGTTTTTGGAAAATAATCTTTGATACTAAAATATGAACGAGCACAAGCGTGTTCCCTAAAATCAAATTCCCTGTGTGTATTTTCCTTTCTATTAATTTTTTTTTAGAAAAAAACTTTTGGTGCCCTTCATGGGGTTAATAACAGTCATGTACCTACTTCCCCACACAATGGATTATAAATACGTCCTTTCAGCATCAGGCAATGTTATAGCTCAGCATTGCATGTTCTGTACTCACTGACAACCAATCATGAGAAATTAATTATCCTTTTAGCTGTATTCATATAGTTCCCTATATAATGTTTTTACCATTATGTTCAACCATTATTTGTGGCGGTGAAATCTACAGTCAGACAAGAGTATGAAATTACAATGAGTTTGAATTGGAAAATGATTTCTACCTGAAATTCCATCATCTTGTATCAGAGGAAAAAAACCCCAAAATGATTTAAGGAAAGTAGAAACCCACGTGAAGAAGGAAAGAAAGAAAATAGTTGGTAAGGGCTTAATCTACTGTCACTGCAGTTGGTGGGCATCAGTCAGTGCAGGTCAGATCCAGCCCACAGAGCCATATCATTTGGCTGACAGGGCTCTAAGAGGGGCTTGGAATTTGAGGAGCTAGGTCTATGTCTGAAATCCAGAGTATGGAACCCTGTTCCTGATGTGTTGCAAGCCGGGGGGGAGTCCAGCCTGGGGAGTTGTATAAATTTGACACTCCTGCCCTAAAGGGATCCTTGGAAGGGGCTGAACACTGGGGCTATCATGCAACAAAGCAAAAAAGAGTTGTTTAATTTTAATTCTGCTGCCAGTCCCACTCAGTGGGCCTACAGACATACTTAAATGATGCGACTGCTGACATGAGTAGAGTTAAGCCCATGTTTATGACTTCGTTGGATTGAGACTACAGGACTCAGTACCTTGCAGGATCAGACCTTAGTCACACAGGTTGTAGAATAATTTGACAGAGGCAGCCTGATAACAAAATGTGCTTTAACAAACAATCAAAAGTTTAAAACAAAAAAAATTCAACGCCCCCCACCTCCCCCAGTGCTTGAATGCAGTTCTGGAGGGTGCTTCTATGGCTGCTGCAGAATCTTTATAAATTAACACCTTCCAGGAATCTCACTACTAGTAAGAGACTATTGAAATATATTTATATAGTGAACCATACTTCAGTCCAAATTTGGGGAATTGTTTCTATCCAGAACAGCACCTAAACATTGTCTTGAACTGGGGCCTTCGATAAGATGGAAATGCCAAGGAGCACTTTTTTTTGTTAAGGAATAAATGCAATTCTTTTACCTAAATGAATGGAAGATTTACATTCACTAATTTATTGACTGCCACATACGATCTATTTGATTGGGAAAATGTTATGATTTTTCATTTAGGTAAATGAATATAGAGACTGATTACATTTGAAATGGCTCATCCACCAGTGAAAACTTGCTTGGAAAACCTGTTATAGAAATCTACCTTGAAAGTTAACAGATTACATGTTAGCCTTGATCTCTACATATATTTTTCAGCCATGGAGTTAATTTTAATGTTATGTCTTATTTAAGATCATCCTGGAAATATATTGTGGGGAAAGATTATGCAGAGAAACAGTGGATGGCACTGTTCATTCACAGCTCTAATGCGGTATGGGATGCCAGGTTTAAAGATGCAGTATTTTTAAATAATAAGTAAAATATAATGGACTCCTTTAAACATGGACAAATTGAGCTTAAACCTGTCAAATCTGTGTTGGAGAAGTCATAATCAGACTGAGGATTTAACTCAGGTACTTTGGGGACATTGCATGATACACAGGTTTTACACAAAGGTGATAAAGGGGCTAAATTACATTCTAAATTCCAGTGGTTTGGCCACATCAGTCTAGTTTATTTTAAATGATACTTAGGGGCTTCATTTATAATTGGGTGTTTGCACTGACATGACTCATCCTGAGGCACTTGAGGACAATTCTGCTTTTACTGGGACAGCATGGTTGGCATGCCTCTCCCAGATGGCTTTATATAAGATGACATTCAGACTGAGGAAGAGAAGGGACAATTTTAAGGCCACTTCGAAGCCTTTCTATAAATTATATTCACAAGGCAGCTCTTGTTCCTTTAGAGTTTGTACCCATTTGCTGTGTGCAGAATGCACTTGCTTCAACTGAGCTAATCTTAGATGATGCTATCAATGGCTTCTTCTTTTTCATGTCTTTCCTTTCCCTTTCTGTCTGTTTCTCTCTCACTCTCACTCTCTAAAATAGGGGAGCAGATTAGATTTAATAAAACAAAATAAAAGGTTTTCCTTTTGATTGATTTTTCTTTGAGGGAAAGCTATATCTGAAGTTATCACAGGTATGCTTTTTTCATGAAGGACACAAAAAGAGTGGCTGGAGAGAATGCTGTGCCTTCACAGTGCAGTGCAGTGCCTTTTACCCAAGAAGCCCCTACAGTCTGAAAGATATAAATTAAGTCTGATAAAGCTAAACTGAGCTCTGCAAGGTGTTTGGTGTTATCCCCATTTCACAGATGAATTCAACTGAAGCACTGAAAGATCACATAGGGCAGGATCCTATTTCACTTTACATGCTGCATAACTGCCCTTTTTGGCATTTATTCAGTTTGCAGTCTTACTTCACAGGCGATGTAGGCACGTAAATGTCAGTGCAGTTACCCAGCATGCACCCTGCATTTAATATTCAGTGGATAAAATAGAGGGAGATCAATGGGGTTGTTTCTGTCCTATTAGCAACTATGATCCCAGCTAAAACCTAGGGTCCCTACCCTTTTGGGTTGCATCCATTTTACTAAGCCACACACCTTTCAGCTCTTTCTCTTTCACCTAGCCCCACAGATCTCCCTCCAAATTCAAAAGGCTGGTAGTTAAAATACTGTGATGGGAAATCAGAGATGTGGGTTCAGACCCCATCATGGTGAGGGGATCCTATAATCTGGGTCTTCTGCATGCTGGGCAATATCCCAACCACACAGCTATTGGGCTAAAATATGGGAGGACCCCCTTCTCCTCCTCTAGTATCTAACATCCCCTAGTTATGGGTTTTGCTAGGTAGAATGTCATGATGTACACTCATCCAGGGCAGGGACACATGGAGCTGTGTACCTGCCTAGCCATAGAATAGTTAACTGAACATTCCTAGTAGCTGTGTGGACATTTATGCATTCACATTGTATTTGAAGTGGGACTACAAACTGCATGTAAGTGCCAAAAGTGGCAGTTACATGGCTGGGAAACTGCCTTTGGGTGCAGAAAGTGAAATAGGATTCTAGCCATAGTGAGTGAAGTCCTGTGTCCTTTCCTAACTACTAGATACTAGGGCTGTGTGAGGCTTTGGCCCGTGCTTTGGATCCAGAGAAGCTTCAGACGCCTCGGCATCTAAACCAGCATGTCCAGATCAAAGCGCTGGCTTCTTTAGGCTTTCCAAAGCTTCGGAAAAGCTTCGGAGCCACCTCAGTGATCTGGCCATAGGGTATAATGGGGAATCAATGAAATATCTATAACATTGTTGTTTTTTGTCTGATTTGGATGAAGCTTGCAGGGGTAGCCTCTGCTGAGAGCATGAAGTTTGCCATGTTTCAAGAAGATCGGTGCAGGTGTTTCTGGGAAACTGCACCCTACATTCTTGAAAGCAAAACTCATGTCACGTCTGTGTTAAGCCACAGTGGGGTGAAAACTGCAGGGGTGGTGGCCCCGGTGAGGCCACAAAGCCTGCCAAATTTCAAGGTGATAGGTGCAGGGATTTGGGGGGAACTGCACCTCAAGTTGCTGATAGGCAAAACTCATGACATAGGTGACCCTGTGTGTGTTAAGGCGCAGTGAGCTGAAAACTGTAGGGATGGTAGCCCCTGCTGCAGCCATGAAGCCTGCCAGCTGTCAAGGAGATAGGTGCAGGGCTTCTGGGTTCTGGGGTCCTGCTCCTCTAGCTGCTGA